GGAAAAAAGTTTATTAAGAAAGGACAACTTATTTAAAATAATTCAGAAAAATGTATTTAATTCTAAGTTAATTATAGAGAACTATCGCTGATTTAATACATTTTATGTGATGGGTATAGTTTAAGAATATGTAAGCGTACTTTAATCCGTATGCATAGTATATATCTATATTTGTTCAATTTCACTAATTATACAGTAATAAAATATTGGCAGTAAGTAATGTTTAAAAATATTCTAAATCGGTAGAATATATGTAGGAAATTGAAAATAAATGTTTCTTAGGGAATTTAATGAACTCAAAAAGAGAACGCTGAAATTTTCCTTGGAAGGGAAAGGATAATTTTAATAAATAATTTCGCAAATGCTCACTATCGCGTAATTCATTCTGTTTTAACATAAAACAATACATTCGATAGTTAAGTAAAAACAACGAGAATAAATAAATAAAATAAAATAAACACTTACGAACTTTTGGGCATTTCCTATTTTTATTTTTTGTTATCTTACATATTCCCATGTAAGACTATTTCCTTTTATATAACGCCATTTTTCTCACCTAACTCAATAAAAACAAAAAATTCTTCAAGATTTAATTTGACATCCGTGGCGTGAAAACAAGCGCGCATGCGTCAAAAACAATCATCCGGTCCAACGCAACTCGCCGCATTTTGTTTTTATTCGATAAACTGTTTGTGTTCCTTCTTATGTGATTTCATGAATCGGAAATGTGCCACAGTTTGAGAGTAGATGCGATTTCTTATCGACAAAACAATCTTCCGTCCAAGATGCGTTTGTCAACCATGCCAGTGTTCTATTTATCGCCTAGCTTGGATGTTTATGCATTATTCGTGTGGATCTCAACTATATATTCAAATTTTTAAATGAAATAAGTGAGCACATATTATGGTTTTAATAAACTAATTCTGTTTTAAATCTAAGCATACATTAAGCATGTTTAGATGGTTGTTTATTGCTCGATGGAGAATAAGGCAGTGATACGTAAATGTAATTTGTATAGGAATTAGAATTTTTAAGTATCGATTGTACTGAAAATTGAATCTCTCTCTCTATATATATAAATAAGAGACTCACTCAATCTCATCCCGAGATCTCACAATTAGACAACAAATTTGAATGAGTGAGTGAGTAAATATTAACTTCGCACTATTCAGCTACACGAAGGCTTTTAGCGATGGACCTCGTCATTTTGAACCACGGTCAAGTGACGAGGGCGACATCTGAGCCGACACCCCGCTTTCCTAACTACCACACCAACTGGAGGATGTTTGAGCTCTCGACAGATTTAACATGCATTGCTCCCTTACACGGAGGGGCTTTAGTGGTACTGGGCTTGAACTCATGATATTCCTGCCAAGATACGATGCTTTTACCACTGGGCTACCACAGCATTTCATTAAATTTGAAATTTGAAACTGGCCAAGAATGTTCCTTTTGTTGAGTAGGGATCCAATCAAAACGGATTTTGTGGAAATCCGAAGGTGTGTTAAAGATGACAAAAAATCCTGTTTTGAACTGTTAGATCTAGAGACCTGAGATTTGGCAAGAATGTTCCTTTTGTTGAGCAAAGATCCGCTAAGAATGAGTTTACTTTTCACGATACAATCGACCAGCTGCTCATGCGTTTCCGTCTACCATTCCGCGAATCAAGTGCATGTCTGCCATATCGGAGTTAATAAAACTGTCCCATAATCTTCTGTAGGCAATGATACCTGGTATAACTGCAGTAATGCAGGTCCGTGTCCTCCAATGCTCTTGTGAATAGCGCCACCTAGCGCCGAACGAAAACGTTTCTGACCAAGGGTTTTTGTACAAATTTGAATCCTTGTGATATCCCCTACCTCCTCATAAAGTTTGACCTTAAAATCCTGAGACATCTTAAGAATATCCACTGGGTAGTTAAAACTTTGTCACCCATCCGATATAGTGGTTAGTGACGCTGACTGCTGTGCCGTTGGGCCTGGGTTCAAATCCCGGGGAAGACATGGATGTTTGTAAATGTATACAGCCTTCGCGGCATGGGGGTACTTAAAATAGCCGTCGAGTCACAATTTCTCTCGTGATGTTGGTGGAAGGGGAAGAGAGGTGGGAGGCCCCTGACCACCTCCAGGATGTTCTCCCTCAAAATTGGGGTGAATCGTTCTGTCACCTGTATGATGCTCAAAGCTACTAGCTAACAACAAGCGTCACTTAGCCCTTTGATATGATGAATTTCATGGGCATTGAGCTGCCCTTTGCCGATCAGGTAGCATTAGTAACAGCATCAACAGCGATTAAAACTTTTAGCAAAAATTTGCACATAAATTTTTCACTTGTTTAATTTTTTTTATCACTCCAATAAATAACAATTCTTAAATTAGAAGAGTAGTAGAGTAGTATAGTAGAACTCGAGTAGAGATGTTTCATTTCTTTTGGCATATTCAAATTTAAGAACAAACACTATTGCGTCTAAATTTTACTGAAATGTCCAGAATGATAGATGATTAATCAAAACATCACACAAAAATAATTTAAACGAAAAAATACATCTAATAAATCATACGATTTTTTCCAATTTATTAATGACGTGGCTTCCATCAAGTATTTCTCTAAAAGCCGCCAGACAAAAAGACTGGGAAAAAAATACCATTGATAGTTAAAAATTCGGAAACTATATCAATGTCCCTTGTTTTAGCTCGACATTTTTTTTTAAATATGAGGAAAAAAATGTTTACTTTCTAAAGTTTTCGTTTCCATTAACCTATGTTCAGCAGTTGGAAAAAAAATTTTTAGTTTCACTCCGTTAACCGAGACTTATTAGTTTTTAATGGGACTTTTATTGATGTGGTGATTTTTTTACTTTTTGCATTATTCAATCATAAGGGAAACACTCGAAAGGGGGCATAAACCTTAAGGACTTTTGAAGGACTGCATGTTCACATTCGAGGAATATTTGATTATTCCACAGATTTTGTTTGCTTTATTTCTCGGTGAAGTTTTACTAATAAGTTATTGAATGATAAAGTGATGTGGTGACAGATAAAAGGAGTTTCAAATCAATTAGTTCAGTTAAACAAATGTATTAATGTATTTTAATACACGACTTCTAATTAGGTAAAGTTAAAACAGACCGAAGTTTAGATTTTTAAAATTTCAAAACTTATTACTTTCACATGCACAGGGAATTTTAAAACTTACCATTTGCATAGCCAAGCTTTTCATGGACTTATGGAAATGTATATAATTTCCCCCTTTTTTTTATCCCCAGAGGAATTTCCCCTACCGTTCTCGGCGTCAACACTCTCTTGTGAATTTTGTTTTTATCCAAAATTCCCTTTTTCAAAATTTTTCCACTCTTTCCTCTATTAGGCAGGTTTATTTCCCCTCCATTCTATTTTTAGACCGAAAAAGGAGAAGAGCATTGAGTCGGCACTTGAGAGGAAAATGTATACATAATTTGTGGATGCATGAAGTAAAATCTTATGAGGGCTTGGTTTTTATGTTAAAGCATCCAAATTTGCAACATCTATAACAAACAACAGTAATTTTAAAAAGGTTGAAACGAAGGAAAAATTAATGCAAAAATAAATCCTCAAAAAAAGACTATCAGATGAAAAGCACAAAGTTTTTTAAATCCATAATTTTTAAGTAAATTTTAAATCGTCAGAGTCAAAATGAAGATTTTTTGGGGATTTCTTTTAAACCTTATTAAGAACTATACAAAATAATCAAATTTTTTTCATGTTAAGGTATCCGACTACGTTAAGAACCAAGATTTTGAAAGATTGAAAATAAATGATGTTTTTTTTTTGATATTCAGTATCAATTAAATTAGAATATGCATGTAAAATTGTTTTATGTGTATTAATAGAATAAAAAAGTATTTAAATTCAATTTTTTACAAAAAAAAAAAAATGACATGTTCAAAACATTTACCTTTTACGAAAAATGCTTACATGTAAGTAATATTTTGCTTATATGTAGCTAAGAAATTTTTCTACAGAGAATGAACCAGGAATTTTGAAAAATTCAAATTTTCAGAGTTACTATCAATTAAAATAATAAAACGGTGTTTTTTTTAAAGAAAATCTGTGCGCTGATGTATTGAAATACTAATAAACTCATTTCAAAATCATGTATCTTAAAATTCCTAATTGATATTCTTTACGGAAGTCAGCTATATATAGCCAAATTATTATTATCAAAGCATTTTCCATAAAAGGAGAATATTTTGAGAATGTCATTTTTTTGGCCAAAAAATTGCATTTAATTAACTTTTTATTCTAATATCACTCTTAAAATTTGTATATGTATATTCTTATTCCGTATCGCACTTTCACTCACAGGTCCAGGGTTCTATCCCCGGGCTGGGTAAGGTCGACTCAGCCTTTCATTTCTTCAGTGGATTGATAAATGACTGTCAAGCTTGATTGTGGACTAAGCACTGGGGGTTTAGCGTTAGATTGACAACCTGACCGAACATCTGCTCATGCACCTCAGCGCCCTAGGTCGCGCATACTGAGTTGGGAACAGAAGGTCTTGGCCCTAATGGTCAGTTGCGCCACTGAGTTTAGTTTCTTTTTGTATATTCTTATTCAGGTGACGCTAAACACACACACACACTATATATAATCATTTATACGCTCTTTCACAATTCCTGTATTGAACATTGTCGAATAGCTAAAATAACTAAGTTTTCCATATAACATTTGAAAAAACAAGTAATTAAGTCAATTCTTACTTAAATGAACAAAGGAAAATTTTATTTTAGTTACTTTTTATCAAAAAGTTACAATTAATACAAATATGTATATACATATGACTGAATCGTACTATTAAGTGACAAAATAGAAAACGATTTTCCTTGCAATTTTCCATTTTCCTTTCTATATACAGTGGTGGACTATTATTTTTATTTCTTATTATTTATTCTTAAATTAAATTTAGCTATTCTAATAAAATAGTATAGTAAAGAAGAAATTTCACATTCTCAGAAATTAGGACATCCCAGGTGAAATTCGAACCCACGACCTTTGGATTATAAGTCCGACACACACACACACTATCCATTGCGCTACAGAGATGCAACGAAAATTTTCCTTTCTGTATATGCTGTTGGACTATTATTTTTGTTTATTACTTTTTATTCATTTTTTCAATTTAATTAACGAATTAATATTTGAAAAAACTGCTAACATCAACTATCATCCACTAGAGGTTTAAATAAAAAAAAATGCATTTGAACTTGAATGGATGATTAGAAAGTACTTTATTAACGATTGAGAATTAGAACAGGATATATATATATATATATATATATATATATATATATATATATATATATATATATATATATATATATATATATATATAATATACAGAGAAAGAGAGTAAACTAATAGTAGGAATTGAAAAAAAAGGGACAGAAGAAATTAAATAATCTTACATAATAATAAATGGATTATTTAAAAAATGAATAGTATATATTAAATTTGTTTCTCTCTTCTATATGTAAGTGGAGTTCAAGTATAATATCAATATTGGAAGTAATTATCATTCGAAAAATTAGTTCGGACTTGGATTACATTCTTAACATATCACATGCGACGATACCTTTAAAGAAAATTTTCCAGCTTATTGCATTTATAATAATGATTATACATGCATTATAATTTTTTATAACAATGCTTAACTGTTTGAATAAAACGAAATGCGAGTTAAGAGCTTCACTTAAGAACTTTTCAAACCGAACATATTCAATTCTAGTAATTTAAAATATCACTTTTTTCCCTATAGTTTAAACTAACCGTAACTTTTAATCGCATTAAGAATGAAGAAATAAAAATAAAATACCGAAAAAATGACACTGAATAATTAATTATTGAGAACTTTTAGAAATGAAAATCCAAATTACAAAGATTATATCCTTTAAAAAATTATAAAGATAATTATATATTTTTATCGCTGTTATGTGCCATTATAGTATTCTTGGAAGTACCAATATAAGAACCAAATTTCAGCTCATGCGTTAATTAAAATGTCAAATATTTTTGCAATGAACTGTTCTTTATCGCTCCCTTTCTTAATAAATAATGACTGGATACCTAAAACGGCAGCAAAAATGTTAAACCATAAAAACGCGTTTCGTTAATGTCCGCTACTTCGAATAAAAAGATAGTATATAAAATTATATATAATAAATAATATTTCAAAAATTCTAATTAATCTAACGCCATCTTGACACCATAAATCGGAACATTATCATAAATAAGCCGTGTGGCTTCTTCTCTTAAACTTTCTAGAGATGCTAAAAAGTTAAAGAAGTTAATACCTCATCTTAAAAAAAGAATGTTTAAGATGCGTTCAAAGGTGTTTGTAATAATGATCTATTAAGGGACATCAAGTTAATAACAACGCTTTAGGGACTTTATTATCAGAGTTAAAAAATGATGAGCTGATTAAATTTTTAATAAATAATTTTATGACTTTTTATTCCTTATTCCCATCAAATTCAAAAATAATTACACATAGAGAAAAGTCAGATAAAAAAATTATTCTTTTCCCTTATTTAATATTATTCTATTCAATAATATTTATTAGCATTAGTTACTAAATGTTAGCATATGAGAATACGAGCTAGCACGTAGTTGAACTGCTCCAATAGTGGTACATAGACAAATGTGCTTGAGACGTTTAAATGAAACACAAAAGCTTAAATATTTAGTGCCGTTAACCGATGAAGGTAAATATAGAGTTTGACTACTCTTGGCGGTAGGTTATGGAATTTTTTTGCGCAATTCTCAGTATTAGTGAGGGTTGTTTGCTTTATTGAGTAGAGAAGGTGGTTAACCTTCAGGCAGGGCGGATAGAAAGAGAATTCCTTGGTTTAAATAGCGCGCGAAGACGCTGAACTCTGGATTTTGTGTTAACCCTCTCACTGCGTAGTTATATCAAAGTAGGTTCAAAAATTGTGTATTTTTTTTCAAAGTATTTCGAATCTACATATTAAATCTGCATTTTAGAGTTAAAATATACAAAAAAAATATTGTAAAAAAAAGATTTCTTTTATTCTAAAATATAGAATTAGATCTTAAAAACATGGACATAAATGAAAACAAACAGGAACAGCACGTGCTGCACGGCTAAATAGTAGCAAAAAATGCAAACCCACGGAAATCGCGGGATTTGCAGCGAGAGGGTTAAGAAAAGCGAGTTCCTTTGTTTTAACCCAAAGCACAAACACAGGGACTGGGTTTTGAGTTTATCGCGGCGGATAGTGCTTGGTGGGTTTGCTGTAACAAGAAGGGAATTCCTGGGAGTTTCCCTTTTTCATGACGGGAGTGGGGATTGTGTTTTGTTTAATTGTATTGAGAAGCGAGATAATTCTGTTGGCTTTTAACGTGAAACACGGCATTGAGAAGCATTAAAAAGTAATAAAGAGGTACATTTCATTGAGCATTATAATAACGATGATGGGAGAGACTATTAGGGATGTTGCAAAGTACAATCACAAATTTTTTTTTATTTGTTTCATTAACGATTTTTTGTGTTTCAATTACTGCAAAGATTTGATTGTGACCCAAAAAAGACCTATCAATTTGTTTTATAAACACAAAAGAATGGGAACTTTGAACAGGGAATTATCACAGAAGAATAAAGAGTTAAGATATCCAACTACGTTCGGAACTATGATTTTGCAAAAGCGTATAAATGGATAATATTTATGATATTTAGTGTCACTTAGATTAGAAAATGTATATAAAATTGTTTTAAGAATTTTATTGCAATAAAAAATTATTTAAGTACAATATTTTGACCCATAATCAAAACATTTTCCTTTTATGAAGAATGCTTCTATAATAATATTTTGCCTGTACATAGCTCAGATCTCTGTACAGAGGCTCGACTAGAAATTTTGAAATATATAACATAGAAGTGAGTTTATCCACGTTTTAAGACAACAGAGGGGAGAAATTTTAAGAAAAAAACGCCGATAATTATTTCCAATTGGTGGTAACTTGAAAATGTGAATTTTACAAAAATCGTAGTTGAGCCTCTGTACAGAGGTCTGAGCTATATACAGGCAAAATATTATTATAATAGAAGCATTTTTCACAAAAGGAGAAGATTTTGAAAAAAGGTTATTCTAAGTTAAATTTTTGCCGAAATATTGTATTTAAATATTTTTTTGTCACAATGTCCCTAAACCAATTTTATACATGTATTCTAATCTAAGTGACACTAAATATCATGCAAATTATCTATTTATGCGTTTTTTTTTAATTCATGGTTCCGAACGTAGTTGGATACCTTAAAAGTTACAAAGTGCTTTATTTTCCACCTATTGAAATAGTACCCAGCTTTTGGAAAGGTTGATATGCAAGCCACAATAGGTCAGTCGAGTGTAGTAAAAGCTAAATATGAACGATTACTTTTTTTGTAAATGGATGATATGTTTCAGATAGTTGTCTTCAGAGAACGCTGCAACGACGGGAACAATGGTTTCAACGCAAAAAGCTCACAGTAAACTAAGGAAGGGTGGTCCGTATATTAATAAACCAACTGTGCACACTTTTGACTTGTAGGCAAAAGAGAGCCAATACTGTGGAGAGCAGAATATGGGAAATGGAAAGATTATCAAAGGAATTGTTCTCCAAAGAATCACGATTCAATAATCAGATTCTAAAAGCAACATTGTAATGGAACACGCGTTGTCCTCGTTATAACCAAACAGAATGAGATCAGCATCACATTGGCTGAGTTTTGGTACATGTTTGTTTTAAGTTTTGTAGGCGGTTCTATCAATAAAACAAGACACACATACATGGTTCTTAAACTACATCTTTGTGTTAACAATGTGCTATGCACTAAATGTTCTTATGTATGTACGACAATGTGATATTACACTGTTATCAACTACTAGAGGGATATCTTATGAAATCTTTACAGTGACTGTGTATCAAGTAACTATAAGGGCCAGTAAGATCTCGAAGCAAATCTGACCCAGCATGATTTGGATGTCCTTCGGTTGGTTTTACACGAAGCAACTCTCTACCAATCAACTTATTTTCTCTTAGTATTCCTCTAGTGTGAAGAAGGAAGTGAATGTTTTTCATACGTGGATACAAAGTTAACTGAAAAGGGAGTGCCGAACTCCGAAGACGCAATAAAAAACTTTCTCCATTTTGAATACACAAGTATTCACGTGTGAAGAGCGTAGCTTCTACAACAACCTTTTAGTTGAGTCAATTAGAGGGGAGAAGAACGTGGGTTTCCCGCGTTTGAAGGTGTGGTACAGCAGGGTGTACCAGTTAACTATGCATGAAGTGACCCACAGGCGATTTCCTTTCAAAACTATCTACCAATTATTTATTCTTTCTACTATATGCAGCACAAATCGACTCATGTGAAAAATCCTTTAGAAGAAATACTTTAGTTCGTTAGTTACCACTAAAGAATAATGCTGAGTTCAAAATCATTATGCTGCAGGAGTGGCTGAACCTGCAGTCTTAACTGATCTAAACCAGTGATATTCAATCTCTGTGGCCTACTGGTTCTTTTCTAACTGCCCCGGTATTGGCCCATTGCACTAGGAAATTCAATTGTTTAAAAACAATGTACTGAAAATTTAGCAGATAATTATATCAATCAAGCAATCAAATGTATAAATTTTGCTATAAATTTGCTTTTTTATATAGTAGAATGTAAACACACACAAGAGAGAGAGGGGGAGGGCTTGGTCATTGATGAAAAGAAATCGAAATTACCCCGTAACTCATTAAAAGATATATAAAAGTAAATACTTTTTCTGTGTGTTTGATAGAAAGATAAATATATAATAGTAAAGTAAAATCCAAAAAATAAATAAATAAAAATGAGTTTTTTTTATATTGATTAGTTTTGCTTTGTCCAATGTTGCTTTGGAGTCTTATAGTGTTTTTTTTCTCTTATTATCTTAATGGTACTGCCCGCGTGAAATACCTATCACACAATGAAAAACATTAACTGTGACGTTTGTCTGCCAGGAAAAAGTGACACATTCTCCACTAGCCAAATTTAACATTCTTTTTTTCCTACAGTGAAT